TTGACAGTATATTAGTATGCCTGTCTCCCTGCAGCACCTCCTTCCAACATTGACTCTCAATAAATAAATATTAAGTCCCTACTATGTGTCATGCACTGTGTGCTAAGCTATCATTTCCATCTTTCCATCTTTGCCTCTTTATTGTCTGTGTTGTCTTGTATATTTCTCTTCTTTTCAGTGATTTGGAATAATCTTGCATGTGATTGTCAATAGTTTGCTTTTCTTCTTTTGAGAACTGAGTATAGCCTTTTACCATTTTGTTATTGGGGAATGGCTAAATTGACTTCCACGTACTTAACTGTTTTCTCCATCACTCATGCTGACTACTCTGCACCAGTTCAATCATTCTGACTGCTAAGGCAGCTCAATCCACACTCCTTCCTTTATCATGCCTAGTGACAAGTTTTTATCACTGTTCTTCCCATGAGCACCTGCACTGGGCCATCTCTTAATTGCAGAGCATAATCAGCAGCTCTGTGACACACTCTAGCCTTGGGCAAAATCCATTTCCCCTTTCCCAGCATTCTCAGAGTCTTATCAGAAATAATAAATTTGAATCCTAAGAACCGTATGATGGAAGAGCTGAGAGGAACCCAGATATTATTTAGTTCAGTCTTCTCCCTTTACAAGAAGAAGAAAATGGGACCCAGAGAAGGGAAGTAAGTGACTTTCACTGATTGCTCAGTGATTTCACGGCAGAGTTGGGACCTGAACCAAGGTGACGCATTCAAAGAATGTCAAACCTTAGAGTTATCTAGTTCAACTGTTTTATTCTATATGGGTGGAGACTGAGGCCCAGATAAGGGAAATGACTTGTCCAAAGTTATAACAGATTATAAATGTGAGAGTGAGAATTCAAATACAAGTCTTCCATCCCACAGTGCTGAATTTCTCAATTAATTTATTATGTTTATTAATTGGATGTTTCTATATGTTAGGCTACCTTACTGGTATTTTTGTGGGGTTGGGGTTGGGAAGGCTGGGCTACATTTATGATTTCAGTAGTTCAGAGGTAGGTACACAATTGTTGTGGGCCTAGAGGGATGGGGGGGTACAGTAACTGTGGTAGGTACACTGGTCAAGTTTTGAGAAGCCAATGAGTCTTTTGCACTGGGGGACCAATGACGCAGAGAGAGCATCTAGTGTGTGAAGACCCTATACACTGTGAGAAAATACAGGAAAGTGAAAGAGAAAAAAACAAGAAAATTCAAAAGAAAATGGAAATACAAGGTCATTACAGTGTTAAGAAAGAAAATTAATATGAGAAGAGCTAAATAGCAGTGAAATTTTAATTGCCAGTTCAAGAGTACCTGCACCAGATAAGGCATCATATGGGGAGGCCAAATAGATGGGATAGATTATAGGAAATCAGAAGAGGGAGAAATCATTGTAAGTTGGATTCATCAGCAAAAGTTTCATAGAGGGTGCAGCTAGACCTTGGATCAGAATATCACCAAATCTCAGTGGCGGTTGGGTTCTTACAGGTCATATACTCCAACCCTTACTTATATCAGGAATCCTAACATGGAAGGAAGAGAGGATTTGGATTGGTAGGAAGAAGAAGGGGCATGGCCTTCCAGACTATTAGAATGATCTGAGCCCACGTTAGAATGCAGGATAATGGAATATATTTTGAAGACGGTTTGTAGACTGTTTTGCCTGGGGTAGACGGTGGAACAGTTTTATTGATCTGGTTATCAAAAAAAAAGTCTTTACTGAGATGTTTACTTTCTTTTTATTTATTTATTTATTATTTATTTTTTTAACACGTGTTTTTCAAACTTTGGATTCCAAATTTTCTCCCTTCCTTCCTCCCACCCACCCTCATTGAAAAGGAAAGCAACTCAATACAGGTTATACATGTGTAGTCATGCAAAACACTTCCATAGTAGTCATGTTGTGAAAAACTAAGTAGATTTCCCTTCATCCTATTCCATCCCCCATTTATTCTATTCTCTTTTTTGACCCTGTCCCTCCTCCTCAGGAGTGTTTACTTTTGATTACCTCCCCGAATCTGCCTTCCCCTCTATCCTCCCCCTCTCTCTTGTCCCCTTTCCCTCCCCATTTTCCTGTAGGGTAAGATAGATTTCTATACCCAATTGAGTGTGTATGTTATTCCCTCCTTAAGCCAAATCCAATGAGAATAAGATTCACTCATTCCCTCTCACCTATCCCCATTTCCCCTCCACTGTAAAAGCCTTTTCTTGTCTGTTTTATGTGAGATAATTTACCCCATTCTACCTCTCCCTTTCTCCTTCTCCCAGTATAACCCTCATTCACCCCTTAATTTTATTCTCCAGATATCATCCCTTCATCTTCAACTCACCCTGTGCCCTCTATCTATCTATCAATCTATCTATCTATCTATCTATCTATCTATCTATCTATCTATCTATCTATCTACCTACATATAATTTATTCCCTCCAAATACCCTAATACGGACAAAGGTCTCATTATTTAAAAATATCATTTTTTCATGCAGGAATGTGAACAGTTAATAAGTCTCTCATGATTTCTTTTTCCTGTTTACCTCTTCATGTTTCACTTGAGTCTTGTATTTGACAGTCAAATTTTATATTCAGCTCTGGTCTTTTCATCAAGAATGCTTGAAAGTCCCCTATTTCACTGAATGACCATTTTTCCCCCTGAAGGATTATACTCAGTTTTGCTGGGTAGGTGATTCTTGGTTGTAATCCTATCTCCTTTGCCCTCCAGAATATTATATTCCATGCCCTGTGGTCCCTTAATGTAGAAGCCGCTAAATTTTGAGTTATCCTGATTGTGTTTCCACAATACTTGAATTGTTTCTTTCTGGCTGCTTGCAATATTTTCTCCTTGATCTGGGAACTCCGGAATTGGGCTACAATATTCCTAGGAGTTTTCCTTTGGGGATCTCTTTCAGGAGGTGATCAGTGGATTCTTTCAATTTCTATTTTGCCCTCTGGTTCTAAAATCTCAGGGCAGTTTTCCTAGATAATTTCTGGAAAGATGGTGTCTAGGCTCTTTTTTTGATCATGGTTTTCACATAGTCCAATAATTTTTAAGTTCTCTCTCCTGGATGTATTTTCCTGGTCAGTTGTTTTTCCAATGAGATATTTCACATTGTTTTCTATTTTTTCATTCTTTTGGATTTGTTTTACAGTGTCTTGATTTCTCACAAAGTCACTAGCTTCCAATTGCTCCATTCTAATTTTTAAGGAAGTATTTTCTTCAGTAAGCTTTTGGACTTCCTTTTCCATTTGACCAATTTTGCTTTTTAGGTAATTCTTCTCCTCATTGGCTTTTTGAACCTCTTTTGCCATTTGGGTTAGGCTATTTTTTAAGATGTTATTTTCTTCAGTATTTTTTTGGGTCTCCTTTAGCAAGCTGTTGACTTGTTTTTCATGATTTTCTTCCATCATTCTCATTTCTCTTCCCAGTTTTCCTCTACTTCTCTCACTTGTTTTTCAAACTCCTTCTTGAGCTCTTCCATGGCCTGGGACTGATTCATATATATACATATATATATTTGGTTAGGCAATGGAGTTAAGTGACTTGTCCAGGGTCACACAGTTAGTAAGTGTTGTGTATCTGAGGCCACATTTGAACTCAGGTCCTCCTGACTCCAGGGCTGGTGTTCTATGCATTGCACCACCTAGCTGCCCCCGATTCATATTTTTCTTAGAGGCTTTGGATGTAAGAGCTTTGACTTTGTTGTCTTCTTCTGGTTGTATGTTTTGATCTTCTTTGTTACCAAAGAATGATTCTATGGTCTGACTTTTTTGTGCCTTTATTTGTTCATGATCTCATCCAATTACTTGAGTTTTCAACTTTTTGTTAAGGTAGGGGTCTGCTTCCAGTGTGGAGAATGTAGTGTCCCAAGCTTCAGGGGTTTTGTGCAGCTGTTTTCAGAGATACTTCTATGGACCTGTGAATTTTCAGTTCTTCCAAGGTGGTATGATAAGGGGCAAGGTGTTTCTTCCTTTCCTGACCTGTGCTCTGGTCTATGAGTGAGGATTTCCTCTCCATAGCCACTACATGCTTCAGCACACCAGTGCTCCTCCTTGCCCCAGGACTGCCACCCAGAACTGTGACCCAGATCCAAGCACGGGCAAAGGAAGAGTATCCTGTACCAGCAGAGAGATCCCTGCAATCCCCCTCTGATAAGCCACTCAATTCCCCCTCAGTCTGTGGACTGGAAGCTCAAAAGGCCACCGCCGCCCCAGGGCCAAACTTGGAAATGGGGCTGGGACCCCGCACTTCTCTCTCATCTCAGAAACAGACTTTCCCCACTGACCTTCTAAGTTGTCTTTGGCATTCGTGGGTTGAGAGGTCTGGAAACTGCCACAGCTGCCCACGATTCAGTCCTCTGAGGCCTGCTCCAGGTTTGCTGAGGCCTGCACGCCCATGCCCAACTGCGCTCCTCTCCCAGCCTGACGTGATATACCTTTCTGATCAACCATCCAGGATATCTTGGGCTGTACATTTGTTTCACTCTGTCTTTTTGTGGGTTCTACTGCTTTAGAATTTGTTTAGATTCATTTTTATAGGCATTTGGAGGGGTTTGGGGGCTGAGATGTTTACTTTCAGGCTCTCTTTGATGCAGGTAGAAATCCTGAACACTTTGAATGGTTGCCTGATATATTGGTTTATACTTAGTTTGTTCTCCCCAGCTCTTCTTCAGTTCTAGCTTCTACTGTTTTTCCTTTAAGATTATGGGCTTTCACATGATCCCTGTTCTTTATACATCTCTTTCCGCTCTCCCAGACTCACTGCCTCCTTGTTTTGGGGCTGTTTCCTTTGACTGGCACAACACAAACCAGAAGGCGATTGTTTTAGATGATAAGTCTTGCACAAGAGTATGGAGGAATGACCTGGAGTGGGGGAAGCTCCATAAAAAGTGACCAGCTAGTTGATCTGAGTAGAAATGAATAGCAAAATGGTGGAGCAGAGTTCCTGGATGGGGAAATGTGCTAGATGAGAGGGAATAATAGTGAATGTGTTGTATATGTTCCTTTAGATCTCCAGTTGTGTGCGACCAAAGCCTGCCACAAGAATGGGACATGCACTGGTTCTGAAGAAGGAGGCTCCAGCTGTTCTTGTGTCCCTGGTTCTTCAGGAAGAAACTGTCATTTTAAGGAAGGACCTTGTGTTATTAATGGGTAAATCTTCACTTCCAGCAATTTATGATTGTCTGTATGATTTTCTATGTAATTTTATTTCTCATTTTACAAAGATCCTTTCAGTAAAAAACTGAAATGGTAGAAATTACTGTCCTTGGGGACCTTGAAGTATTCTTTCCGTTCCTGGAGTAGCATAGACTAGGTCAAAGGGTCCTAGAATATCAGAGCTTGAAGAGAGTTAATGACCATATAACATAGAAAAGGTGTGGAGAACTTGTGGCCTCAAGGCCACATGTGGCCTTCTAGGTCCTAGGGTGCAGCCTTTTGACTGAGTCCAAGTTTTACAGAACAATTCCTTTTATTAAGGGGATTTGTTCTGTGAAGTTTGGAGTCAGTCAAAGGGCCCCACTTGAGGACCTAGTGGGCCACGTGTGACCTCAAAGCCACAAGTTCCCCAACCCTGACAGAATATAAGGCCGAACGGGACTTTGGAATGTCAGAGTTTGAAGGGAACTTAGAATATGAATATTATGGATCACAACAGTTTTAGGATCATAGAAAATAGAATGTCAGAGCCAGAAGGGGCCTTACAACCATAGAACATAGAAAGTCAGAGCTGAAAGGGACCTTAGCACTACAGAACACAGAACATCACAGCTGGAAGGGGGCTTAGAAAGTCAGAGCCAGAAGGGGATTTAGAGCAGTAGTTCTTCAGTTGGGGTCTACAAGTCCCCAAGTGGTTTCAAGGGATCCATTGATTTGAATGGGAAAAGATTGCATGTTCATCAACGTAATTGGTTTTCTTTGTAATCCTATGTACATTATTTTATGCATAAAAACATTAATCTGAGAAGGCATCTTTTGGCTTTACCAAGGTGCCAAAGAGGTTCATAGTGCACAAAATGGTTAAGGACCCTTGCTTTAGAGACCAGAACATGGACTGTTACAGCAGGAAGGGGCCTTAGAATCATGGATCATAAACTCTTAGAGCTAGAAAGAGCCTTAGCATCATAGAACATAGAATGTGAGGGGACCTTGGGCCTGTAGAATTTTTGAGATGGAAGTTTCCTCATAATGACAGAATAATACATTTTAGAGCGAGATCATCTAGTTGAACCCCTTCATTTTACAGGTGACAAATGAGGCCCAGAGAGGGGAATTGATTTGTCAAAGGTCACGTTGGTAGTTAATGGAAACTAGGTGCTAGAATCCGTATATTCTGACTCCAAGTCCACTGTTATTTCCAATTCACAGTGCTGTTGAGTGACATCTAATTTCCTTAAAAAACAAACAGACAAAAAACCAAAAATGAAAACAAAAACAAAACAGCTGTGTCTTGCCTCGTTATGGTACAGCCCAAAGTAATTTGATATTAATATTCTTGAGATGCTTTGAAATTCTGATGTGTATGAATGGAAATAAATTGGGGCCAGCGAACCAAGGCATATTTCTCATTTATTTGCACAATATTGCAAAGGTAAAGGAACAAGAGATGACATTTAAACAATCCTTAGCTGCCATTTAAACTATGAGAAATGTGCTCCGTAGACCACAGTTTTGCCAGAATACTTAGTACCATAAAAGGGGTAAGACTAGCAATGTTTCTCCAAATTTTTTAACTTTTAAGTAGTAATGTGCCAAACTGAAAGGGATAAATTGTAGGGGATAATTGTGCTCAGCTCTGGGTGCCATGTTTTAGGAAGGACATTGACCAAGTGGAGTGAATGCAGAGGAAGGATGACAGGATGGTTAGGGCAGGAGTGGGGAACCTGTGGCCTCAAGGCCACATGTGGCCCTCTAAGGTCCTCAACTGTAGAATCCAAACAAATTGTTCTGTGAAGTTTGGATTCAGTCAAAAGGCCCCACCCCTTGCTCAGGGGATTGGATATTATGCTAGATAACTTCTGGTTAAAGGAACTAGGATATTTAGCCTGGAGAAGAAAATGCTAGAGGTGGGGTACAGGATAACATATAAAAGAGGAATTAGATCAGTTTCCAATTTTGTTACGATGCAATACTGGTATGTGATATATGTGCACACCTATAGTTTGTCATCTAGGTGCTGCAGTGTATAGAGCATTGGGCCTGGAGTCAAGAAGACTTATCTTCCTGAGTTCAAATATGGCCTCAGACACTTACTAGCTATGTATTAACTCAGTTTCCTCATCTATAAAATGAGCTGGAGAAGGAAATGGCAAACCACTCCAGTATCTTTGCCAAGAAAACTCCAAATGGGATCACAAAGAGTTGGACATGACCAAAACAACTGAACAACAACAAAAACAGTAGTTTGTCAGCTATGTTGGTCAGTATCATTTACTCTATCCAAAACCGTTGTTGTGATCGGCTTAATGTGGATGACAGTGGAATGAGTAGCACTCTTTCTTGTTTTGTGTCCTCAAATAGATAAGATATATAAGAACAAATTAGAAATGATAACACCCCATCTGCTAGTAAATGCTTAGGGGCAGATGGTGTTGCCTAACTAAACTAACTAGCTAAAGTGAGCAAATTTTGAATGTATGTGAAATGAATTCAAATGATGAATGCTTTTATTAGATGCCAGTACCACGTCATAACAAAATTGGAAGCAGATCTTTCCCACTCTAGACAAGGGCTTCCTATTGTTTTTGAGAGTGATATCTTCAGGTCCAGGTTGCACTACAATATTGCAGATCATTGTAAGATAGTTGTAAGAAATTATTTCATTCCTGAACCCGGATTAAATCGAAGAAGATTGAAAGTGAAGGAGTTATTCAATATCTGAAGAGGGAAAAGCTGAAGAACCTGAAGACATTGAAAATGCTACCTAATAATGAAATGGATAGCTAATATAATTCTGGTGACTTGAATGACTTTGAATGAGTATACTTAGAGTGGAATTTTGAAAAGATTTGAAACAAGAAGAGACCTTAGAGGTCATGTAGTCCAACCCCCTCATTTTAGAGGTGAGGGCAAGAAAAGTTAAATGAATTAGCCAAAGTCACACAGATTACAACTGAAAGAAGCAGAATTTGAATCCAGGTCCCCTGAAACTAAATCCAGCACTTTTCCCACTGTACCATGGTACCTCACTCATAGAACAACTATGATATAACAGAATAATTTTAATTATCTTCAGTCACCATCGTGAATAGACATGTAAGTTGTTACCATGGCTGTTTTGTTTGTTTTTCGTCCTTCATTTTCGAAGACAACCACTGACATCACAGATGACATCTTGACTTGTGTATGAATTGGATTTAAGTGAGGCAGAGTTACGCAAAGTCATCAGCCTCACTCTCTCTTCCTGAGTCATCAAAGTCCAGTGGCAGAACAAAAGTAAAAGTGACCTGAGATGCAGTGGATCACATTGGTATCTTCAATGTCTGATTAAGCACTAAGAACTCCATAGAGACTGCTTCAGCTGCTTTTGTGGCCATTGAAAAACATGTTTTCATTCTACCCACTTTGCTGGGGAAAGTCTTCACATGCTTGGGGTAGACATCCCTCTAACTTACTGACAGGTTTGAGGCCTGCCAGTTACCCTCAACCTGGTTTAGCTTGTCCGCCTAGATGGTTTTACCAGGGTGTGGCTGCTGAGTATGTTGCAACTTCTTGGAGCCACAGGTGAGAATAGGGTGAAGGTGGACACCAAAGGTGGATAAGTAGCCCAGAGGTGCTGGGGAAGGGATATGTTACCATGGTAAGGACCATTGGAAGAAAGGTGTAGTTATCTAGGAATACTCCTAAGGACAAGTGTCAAATACTACCATGGCAGAAGTGTCATGAGAGAACTATTGAAAACCTGTGGAAAGATATCATGCTAGATAACTGCTGGCTAAAGGATATTTAGCCTAGAGGAAAAAAATATTCTGGGGGTGGGGTGCATGAGAACACATAGGAAAGAACATGTAGATTGATTCCATGAATGTGACAGAAAACTTAATCACTATATTACCTAAGCAAAAATAATTTTTTAAAATGTAGAGTAGGATCTAGAAAACAAAAGTACATCAGAAATTACTAATACCCCTAATTATACACTGAAAAAGAAAGACAAAGGTGAAAGCAGAGGTAGGGAAGCTGAGGGCTTGAGGCCACATGTGGCCCTCTAGATCCTCAAGTATGGTCCTCTGATTGAATCCAAACTTCACAGAACAAATTTGTTCTGTCCTAGAGGGCCACATGTGGCCTGGAGGCCACAGGTTTCCCGCCCCTGGTTAAGGTAATACAAGAAGTAAGAGTACTCCAAAGAACAAAATCAACAATTCATCGTTAATCAAAAACTGTACTGCAGAGGCTTAAGAAACAAAGAAATCAGAGGAGAGAGAGAACCTCCAGAAAGGAAGATGTGGAAAATTTTGGGTTACCTCTCTGGTCAAAAGACGTTGGACACAATGGATGTGTCAGTTGGGTCAAACACAAAAACAGAAAGCTCGTATATTATAGGACCACAGACAGAAGAAATCTTACAGATTACCTGGTCCCACCCTTTCATTTTATAACTAGTGACTGTAAGATGCATGGAGGTTAAGTAACTTGCTCAGGATCATATAAGTCCCAGGATTCAACCCCAAGTCCTCTGAGTTCAAATCTAGACCTTTTGCACCATACCACGAGGCCTCCCTGGTAATTATTATAATAATAATTAGTGTTAGAAATTGTAGAAATGTGGACTCTGAACACCCCAGAAATGGGAACTAGGAGTCACCAGACTTTTCCCCAGAGATGTCAGTGTGACATGCTGCTTTGTCCAAACCCTACCTCAACCCCAAAATCCCTCAAAAGAAACATCTGCGCAATGTCAAGATGGACAGTAATATCTCTTCATATCAATCAGTTATGTCACTCAATTAGTCAATCAATAAGTATTTTTCAACCCCTTACTATATGCCAGAAACTGGGCTAAGTGTTGGGGATATAAAGAAGAATCAAAAATAGTTCCTGCCCTCAAGGAGCTTTCATTCTAATTGAGGAGACAATATGTACATGTGTAAGAATATACAAGATACATGCAAAGTAGGTATCAGGCTTTCTTTCAAGTCCAAGCTAACATT